GCCATAAAATACTATAGTTTGATAATATTTACAGTTATTATCAAAATAATTCCAATAATACCCTTCTTTTTTATGTGCCACATCTTTCAGGGTGTGGGTAATATGGCTCTCTACAACTTCCTGCTTTTCTTGCTTGAAATAATTTTTGACACTTCACCATCTCTCTTTGGCTTTGTTCTGCAATCTCTTCATACAAACTTGTCAAGTATTTTACTCACTGTTTCCTCTGCTTCTCTTGCCTTCAGTATGTTCTGTGAGTGTTCAGTTCTCTGAGTCCTCTTTCTTTGTTACATGTCCCAGAATTTTCAGCTATCTGTTTCTGATTGTAAATATCAGTTTCCTTGTAGTTCCTATTTTCCTTAAAACTTGCTCCTTGCTCACATGTTCTGTCTGTGGTATTCTCAGCATTCATCAATAGAACCACATCTTTTTTGTTTCAAGTTACTTGGAAGGCATCTTTCATTATTCCTATGTATCTTTGGATTTCATCTGTCTCTTTCTGATTATAAGTATCAGTGCTATGATAAAACCTCCGGATTACTACCCCTTTAACAGAACCCTTACAACTCAAAGATGACTACCTGGCATGCTATAGTAGTAATAATAAGAGTAACACTGTAATGTTTAAAGCTGCTATTGTGTGGTTACTCATGTTCTTGTGAATTCATCACAATTTATTAAACATTACTTAGCATTATCTCTCTCAAGATGAAGCATATCCTGTACCGAGACAGACTGAACAGAAATCCAAACACCACCGACGCTGAAAGAGAATACCAGCACTGGAAAATTACATTTGAAAATTTTATTGATGAATGCCAAGACAAAACCCCAAATTGCACTGCCTCATAAAGTATATATCTTCCACTATTTACAATCTTATATCAGATTGTACTACGTATGAATCTGCTCTCAATACCTTGGACAAGTATTTTATAAAAAAAAATACCATCTTTGCACATCACCTGCTAGCTACAAGATGACAAATGGCAACTGAAAATATTGATGAGTTTCTCTAGGAGCTACACAAACTGAGTAAAAACTGCCAATTTGTAAATGTTAGTGCCAAACAATATGGCCAGGAATTTATTTGAGATGCTTTCATAAATGAACTTACATCTAACATGATATGACAACATTTACTAGAGAGCTAGGACCAAACACTTAGCCAGGCTTGTGAGATTGTTAAGGCACTTGAACATGCCCAATACAACTCTGAACACTATGCCAGGGCAGACACGCAGGTAAGTGCTGCTGCTACGTCTAGGGAAGATATCCCTCAATCACAAGATTATAATGCTCCCTTACAAACTACCCCTGCTTTGGTTAATGCTGTCATTGTGAAGAAGCAATGCTGGTTTTGTGGTGGTAATTTTCACTATCATTCCAAATGCCCAGCTCAAAATAGTAAATGCAACACTTGTGGAAAAACTAGACATGAGCAAAAGCATGCTGGTCCAAATGAAACCAGAGAGTCACTGCTGTTATCAATAATAATGAGTTATGTGCAGCACTGGCTGCTACTCCACACCATTTAATATCTTCCACTGTCTCTGTCAAAATAAATAATTACTCAGCCTCAGCACTGATTGACTCAGCTAGCTCTAGTAGCTTTATCAACTATGAGTTAGCACAACAACTTAAAATGAAAATGAAACCTGGTACATGCTACATTACATTAGCCATGTCTTCAAAACAGATTCCAATCAAAGGTGTATGCCATGTTAACATCACCTTAAATAACAAAAATTGTAAAAACACTCGTCTGGAAGTACTTGAGGACCTATGTTGTGAAGTACTGCTGGGTCTTGATTTTCAGAAACATGCTGTTGTCACCTTCTTACATGGTGGGACTGAACCTGAACTGAACATAAATGAGTCTGAAATTGAAATTTGTAGTTTAATTGCATCTAAGTTAAGGGTTCTGCAACTATTTGCCAATCTGAAACCCCATGCTCAATCAACTGCAACACAATCCCAAGCTTACAGTGATGAGAACCAACAGTTTACTGCTCAGGAAGTCAAGCACCTATTGGCAGAAGGAACTTCATCTTCTTGGCAAGTGCAAGTAGTTATAATAAAGGATGAATTTGATTGCCATAAAAAAGAATATGTGTGGACTACTCAAACACTGTCAATTTATTTACAGAGCTTGATAGGTACCCATTGCCAAGAATTGAAACCTTAGTAAATAAACTTGAAGGTTATCAGGTCTTATCTACTTTTGACCTAAAGAGTGCCTATTACCAATTGCCAGTATGCAAAAATGACAGGCTACTTACAGCTATTGAGGTGAACATGCATTTATATCAATTTACTTGTGTACTATTTGGAGTAACTAATGGGGTTGCTACTTTTCAACGAGCTATTGATAAATTTGTCGATGGAGAGAACCTTACTAATACATTTGTGTATCTTGATAATATCACTGTCACTAAGAGAGAACAAGCAGAGCATGATAAATATGTTAAGAAGTTCCTTGAAGCTGCCCAATACCAAAACCTCAAAGTGAACAAATCCAAATCCACACTTTCTGCAAACAAGATTTCAGTGCTTGGCTAGTGATGGGTTAATATGGCCTGATAAATCAAAACTACAGCCACTTTTAGACCTGGAGATATGCACTAAAAAGACAGTTTTTAGGCAATTTTTAGGCATGTTTGCATACTATGCAAAATGGATCCCCTAATTTTCAGACTGCATTCAGCCCCTCAAAAAAATACGTGAAGCAAAAGTGTGTGAAGCATTTCATAATTTAAAATGGCTACTTATGAAAGTGGCACTACACTGCCCTGATAACACCAAACCATCCATGATAGAACATGATGCATCAGATGCTGCAGTATCAGCTATCTTAAGCCAGTATGGGCAACCTGTTGCATTCATGTTACAAACTCTGAATTGCCATGAAACCTATTACCCAGGAATTGAGAAAGAGGCTACTGCAGTGGTTGAAGCTGTAAGGAAATGGTCCCATTTCCTGTCTGGTCAACACTTTACAATTGTGACAGACCAAAAATCAGTGGCATTCATTATGGATAATCATAAACAGTCCAAAATTAAGAATGACAAGATCCAAGGTTGGTGCCTGGAACTGGCTAACTTTTGCATTGACATTTGCTACCGCCTCACACTACAACATTGTCACTGACACTTTGAGTCATGCATACTGTAATGTCATCTTTTCCACATTCCCAAGAAACTACATGATGTCCTTTGTCACCCCAGAATCATTAGACTTTTGCATTATGTACACTCTAAAAATATGCCCTTCTCCACAGAAGGGAAGGAAGTCTTCTCATCTTGCAGAATTTGTGCTGGATTGAAACTACAGTTCGCTTCCTTACCTAAAGGTAAACTGATCAAAGCTACTTAACCCCTTGAGCACCTTAGTGTGAACATCAAGGGACCTTTACAACTAAGCACATCAAATAAATATCTATTTGTTGCAATAGATGAGTTTTCAAGATTTCCTTTTGCAATTCCATGCAAGGATACCTCATCTAAAAGAATTATTTGGTGCCTACAATCAATCTTCTCCCTTTGTGGAGCACCAAGTTATATCCACTCAGACGAGGCTTAGGATTCCTAGCTCATAATGTGAAGGAATACCTTCTACTGCACGGGGTGGCCTCTAGCAAGAGAACCCCTTATCATCCTCAAGGCAATGCTGAAGTGGAAAGATATAATGGCATCATATGGAAAACCATTTCTCTTACACTGAAATCACAGAATCTACCCTTAACTCATTAGAAATTAGTACTACCTCAAGTTCTTCATAGTATCAGGTCTGTTCTGTCCACTACCACTAATGCAACACCTCACAAAAGATTCTTCTCATTCTTTCAGCGGTCATCTACAGGTGTATCTCTTTCATCCTGGCTGCTAAAACCAGGACCCTTTTTGCTATGACAATTCATAAGACACTCAAAGAATGATCCCTTGGTACAATTAGAACTATTAGACATAAATCCAACCTATGCACATATCAGATACGGTGGTGGCCATGAATCATGTGTCACTACATTACCTAGTTCCTTGTCCATCACAAACACTTATAAGCAATCAGAGTGGATCAGATACTACAACAAAAGATTTTCCCAGAGTAATTGAAAACAATCCTACTTGGTGGGAGGGGGGACAATATTAATATTCCACACACATTTTGTGAAACTGTTAATGCACCAAGGCCAATCACTTTGTTGTTCCCAAAAAATAAGCCATACAACACAACAATTCATTCATCTTTAAAAAAAATTGTTTATATTCACTACCATATAGATGAAATATTACATAGCACTCTTTTCTTTGTTTCAAAAACATATTCATATCACTAAATACTTTGTTTACACTGAATAAGAGTTTTTTTGTTTTTTTAATGAAAGCCAAAATCATTTCATTATGTTCAGGCTATTATTTAGATATTAAAATGAAAACAAACTTTAAAGACTAAGTTTATGTATAAACTTCTTGAGGTATAGTTATCTCAATCTGAAAAGTACCAATTGCATTATATTTTATATTTACTTTTTCCAATAAAATTTGCTTTATGTACACTAAGTACAAAAATCCTGATTGGACAGAGGCAGTATAATTTATTAATAGCTGAAAATATTGGTCCAGGGTAAATTTATATCAGTACACAATTCAAATAATGTACAGGGTCACTTCTTGTTTGCTGTTGTTCTGTTTTTATTTTCTCACTGAGATTTTTCATGTTTTTTAGACTAGATTTATGTATACATGACAATGATCTCTCATATTTGCTAATACTGCATCTAAATTCATGCAATTTTAAAGATTGAACTCATATATAAAGCAAATATTTCCCGATAAGAATATTACTGTTTATCAATAAAAGAATTCCAAAATTTCATTACTGGAGCTTAACAATGTTTTATAGATTAGTAAGATACTGATTTTAGTTTTATTTTCTAATAGAAACATTTATAACTGATCATTTGAAAAGCTTAAACATTGTTCTATTTTATTTATTTTAGGCCACATTCAAAGGATGGATTAATATCATGGCTGATGCAACAGATATCAGAGATGTAAGTATTTATTGGTTATTACCTGTAAGTATTATATCAAGCAGTCAGAAACACAATTTAGCAGATGAGTAGACATATCCTTAAAAAAAATCAAAACAAAGTTACAAAATGAATAACAGTTGGTGAACATGTGTGTCTTTGTGAATCTATTTATGAAAATAGGTTTTATTACTAAAAAAACATTTAAATGACATAGCAAATGGAATGTTAAATATTGTTCAGTAGTGGGTAATCAAAGGATAAAGTGGAAAAACTCCTAAGTAACTTTTTGATTAAAAGAGAAAGTAATTTATTAAAGCAAAAATGTCTTGAATGTGCACTAATTTCATAATCTTCTACAGTAAATTTATGTCCAGACTCATACAACATACTTCTTTACCTCATAGAACTAATTCTGATATAATGTTGGATATTTAAGAATAATAGTAATAGAAAATAAAAACAAAAGTTATAGAAAGTTGAATGTGAACAGCTAGGTTATGCATTTAAATATGCTGGAAGTCAAAATTTAAAAGAATTAAATTTAAAGCTAAGCATCACTGTATCTTTAGTATTTTTTATCTAAAATTATAACCTTTTGTTGTATTTCTTCCTCTTATTATTAATCTGAAGAAATTCCTTCGAGGAATAAAATGCATTTAAAATGCATTGTTTAGGAGTTTTTCTATTTTGCCATTTGATTACCTACTTACCATTAGCTTAATATGTAGATGTGTATACCATATACTCCATATTATTCAATATAAAATATTATCTTACTTTACTAGGTTATTTGATGATGTCACATTTTTTGAAAAGAAATAAAAATCCATTTAAATATAAAAAAATGTTAAATTTATTTGTTAATGTAATGAATTGGTAAAAGTAGTATTGTACCCATTTGCATATGTTAATTAGAAGAGATATAAAGTGTATAATAAACTAAGAGACAGGCAAGAAGATGACTACTGATCATGTGTCATAGAACAACACAATACAATTATATAGTACCACCAATAGGATGCTTAAAATTTACCGAGACTTGTATCCAGTGTTTTGCAGCCTAGGCTAGCACTAAAAAATTGAAAGGCAACCAGGCAAGAGTGAAGCTATAATGAAAATTTTTATTATGGCACACCCCAAGCAATTAAAGAATTTGACTTTCATCAAAATTTCAGAAATTATAAAAAGAAGTTTATGACTTAAAAAGAAACTTGTCATAGCAAAAAGAACCAAATTTCTGTCCACTAGACAAAAACAAGATGAATCAGTTATGCAATATCTTCACAGATTAAGAATTTGGGAAACTTAGAACTCAAGATTTCACTATTGAGAATTAATTGATTCAATTACAGTTGATTAAAGGTATGGCTGATACATTTCATTAATATAAGATATTGGAATAATTACAATTGAACAATTTGTCTCTAACTGTATGTGTGAAAGTTATACAACAGATGGAATTGATAAAAAATATAATTCTACTGGGGGCAATGTTGAAATTTACAGTATAAAAATGGAACACAAGAAATACAAATACTGTAAATATGAGCATGAAATTGACAGAAAAAAAGTGCCCCACTTTTGGAAAAATTTGCCATAACCACTGAAGAAAACTCATTTTCAGTCTGTATGCAAAGTTAAAAAGAAAATAGTATAGAAAAAGTGGAAAAAAAGAGAACTGGTGGCATTTTTTTAATACAAATAACTAAGGAAAAGAAGTCTTTTGAAAAAATTAAATGCAAGTGGATATGGCGAGTGAAGTCATTCTAATTCCAAGAAACTTCTAGGAACAAATGGGTAAACTGAAATTGAGAAAAAGTTATCTAAAATTGAGACAATTTGATGGATCTTTTATAAAACTTTGGAATATTTCAATGGAATATTTGAAACCTGTGACCAATTTGAAATTATTCCCATTACAGTAATAGAATGTAAAAAAGTTTATGGACTACTAGGTATAGATGTGTTAAAGGTGGATACATCAAAATTAATCAGTAACATAAAGTCAAAAAATGTAAAAGTGTTATAAAGCAAATATACAATTGAATGAAAATAGTACCCCTCTTATTTTGAATCTTGGAAATTACCTATTCACCTTCTATCTTTGGTAGTTGCTAAGTTAAAGAAAATGGTAGAGGAGGGAATTTTGGTGCATGTTCCTCCAGGTGGCAGTAAAAGAGCCTCTCCCGTTGTAGTCTGGTAAAAAGCAGATTCAGATTTGAGAATATGTGGCGGTTTTAAAATGTTCAAACTCTTTTCCTATTCCCAGTATCAAAACCGGTATGCACAAATTATTGGGCATGAAATGTTCTGCAAAAATTGATTTAAAATCAGCCTACAATCAAAGACAGATTGATAATAAATTCAAAGAAATTACCACAATAAATACCCCCTAGGATTATTAAGATGAACAAAAATGCCTTTTGGGGTAAAAAAAAACAAGTGCCATTTTTCAGAGAACAATGGAGAACATGTTAACTGACTAAATCAGTAGTATGATTATTTATCAAGATATTTGCCTTTGTGCTACCACTAAAGATGAATTAAGACAAAAAACAGAACATGTGTTAAGCAAGTTAAAAAAATGGGGATATCAATAGAGACAAATGTGAATTTGATTGTGATACAGTATCATATTTAGGGTACCAAATTTCAAAAGATGGCATTTAACCAAATCCAAAATTAATTAAGAAAATTTCTGAGGTATCTATATCTACTAATAAAAAAGAATTAAAATCCTTTTTAGGATTGGTAAATTTTTATAATAGATATCTACTAAAATACACTGACTTAATAGAACCATTTACTGAACTGTGGAAAAAGAATAGTAAGTTCAAATGTACTTAAAGGCAAGGCTTAACATTCAAGGATTTAAAAGAGATACTGAAGAATAAGAAGAAACAAGTGGAGTAATTGTTCCAAAGCTGAAAGGCTTTATAAAGGAATAAGGCATAAATTAACAATAGAAAATGGTGTTATATGCAATGGAGATGAGATAGTGCCACCAGAAACAGTAAGAAGAGATATCTTAAAAAGTACACATGATGATGTGCATTGTGGGATAATGGCTATGGAAAGGAGATTAAAATTGGAGGCATGGTGGCCAGGGTATTATCTCAATATAAAAAGATATGTACACAAATGTTCAAAATGAGCAGAAATAAAGAATTTTCAACAAAGGTGACTACATTCATGGCCTAAAGAAATGGAACCATGGTCACATATTCATATGGGCTATGCACACATTAATGACATGTAACTGTCTAATTTTAGTAAACTCCTTTTCTGTATAGCCTGACATCAACAGAGTTAAAGATAGAAAAACAACTACAATAAGACAAATACTAAGAGTGGTATTTTCAAGAAATGGATTCCCTAAAACATTGATATCATACAATACACCAGAATTTTGTGATGAAGATCTGTGTAACTGGTTGAGGTGGATTGGCTGCTTCCCTTACAAAACACCACCATATCACCCACGATCTAATGGGATTGTTAAAATAATGGTGCAGGCAGTAAAAATGAGATTAAAAGCATTTTCCCTAAGTAGAGATACTATAGACAGCTACTTACCAGGGTTCTGCTTAGTTATAGGATGATTCCACATGCAGACAGATTATAAAACCCATCTGTGTTAATGGGTAGACAAATAAGGTCTCTATTAACAATGTCTTATTTGACAAATGAAAAGATGTGGTATAAGAAAAATAAAGTAGCAAGTCCTGAGAGAGATAATTTCATCATGCAAAGGGGACATAACACAGTCATTATATCAAAGAAATGAGAAAGCCTAATGGCCCATTCTGAATAATTAAGACCCTGAATTGAAGAGGAAAAAGTCATGATGGAAGAAGATCTTGATAGAGTAGAAAGGATGAGTTCTTCAGATTTGGACAATGCAATAGAAGACGAGCCTATCAATGATATCAGGAGTGACTCAGACACAGAAGAATGATGAAATGAGACTAAGATCTCTATTAAAAAGAACAGGAAATAAACCTCAAGGGAAAGAGGAGGAAAGAGGTTGTAAAAGAAGTTCAAGAACAACCAAAGGCATTAAATCTCTTCAGTTCAGGGAGGTCTAGTAGATTGGTAAATAGGATTGTACCTATTTGCATATGTTAAGTAGAAGAGATATAAAGTGCACAGTAAAATAAGAGACAGGCAAGAAGTTGACTACTGATCATATGTTGTAGAATAACACAATACAACAGTTAATAAAATAATCATCATCATTAGCAATAACAAAATATTGCTATGAAATTGATTCATTTATTTCTTGTTGAAAGAATCAGAGATTCTGAACTAAACACCTATTTCAACATCTAAACCAAAGTTGCATATGATGTTGGTAAGCATTCAATAGATTATGGTATGCTTCATCTATTACAATAAGGTAGGCAATCTCAGTAGATTTCCATTATCAACAACTCAAACAAAAAAAGAGAAAGAATTTATGCACTAAACCTGTATCTTTAGTCAATGAAAAGTACATCAGTCCTCAGAATAAAAATGAAAGCCCACTCTGACTTTTACTCAGATAAATGAATCTCTTCTTTGTGCCTTTGATATTGTCAACAATGATTGAGTAGATCCATTCTCTGGCCTTTCTTGAATATGAAAAAAGAGAGGATGTCTTGTTCCAGCAGTGTAAAGTAAAAAATTAAAAGTAGCGCAAAAAGAATATTTTTAAATCCATCAGAGCAGCAACATTTATTTCAACTCATCCCAACATATTATGCAGTGATGTTCTCATATCTTTTTTTTATTAAATTCCCTATGACCTTCTTTTTAAGTAAATTAAAATACCTACACATACCAGCTAGACATACCTGGTAAATAAGCAAATATATGCTGCCCATTCCAACTTCATGACAATATCAAAGACATGAAGAAATTCAGTGGTTCAAACAAACTGAAATGTTAATGACTCTTCTCAAAGATAAAGACAATGAAATCTCACATTCAGTAAACTGTGATCATGTCAGAATAGTTTATATTACCATCCTTACTCA